GTATGTATTATTATTATTTGCAGATTTATATTAATTTAGACGTTATATATCAAATGATGTTTTAATGTGAAAAAACTAGAATTTATGTACGTCTTAAATTTCGCGCTTTAAGGTAAAAATCTTATACTATAATGGGACATAGGAAATTTACAGTGTTACTTGAAAAAACTGTTAGTTACTTGAAGAAAGCTGTTTTCAATCTTTCAAATTTTTAATTTTGATGTTTAGCAAAAAAGAAAAAAACAAAAAATTTAATTTTGTTTATATAATGGAAATATTAGGTCTTTGTAGTTTGTACGCCCCCACTCGAGAAAGATGCGAGTTAGAGTTAGGAAAAACTGTTAAACAAAATTGTCACTTTCCGATGCCAAAAAGATAAATTCGTTTTTGTGATTTTTCAGTAAATCTCTCTTATTAAATTTGGCAAAAATTTGTTGGTTTCCTGAACACTATAATATTATAGTTAAATTATACTTTAAAGCAACCAAAATTCTGAGTTTAGGTATAAATAAGTCGCTATTTGCAAGGTCTTCCATTGAATTTTTGGACAATCAAAATCTAATATCGGTCTCAAAGAACAAAACTTTCTTTCACAATGGAAAAATCGGTAAATTATATTCAAAACTACTTATGAGTTAATTATTTGATGTTTTGAAAAAAAATTATTTTTGAAAAACCTTTTTTGCCATTATGATCTATACTATAGCTATCTATTTATTTTACACTTTAAGAAGATAATATGATTGCTATTTATTTAAAACAATGTTTAGAATTGTTGTTACATTTTGATGCATAAGTATTTACAAAAGAACTATTGAAATTAATTAAATCTCTATAATATTAAAAGAGAATTACATTTAGGAGAATGTCCAAAATTAATTTTAATATTACTCAAATTGCCATTGTTTTATAACTAAATTTATTAAATTGAAAAAAGTAATTTTGAACTAATGCAATGGCAATTTCAGTAATTTTGAGTACAATTTCGACTATTTTTATGTTACGAATTAATTGCATTTTCGTTTTTATTTTTGA